GTGGAGTCAGCTGAGCATTTATTGAACTATTACTTTTTGTGATACATTATATTTTTTGCTTTTATTTTTACTATACAAGAGGGCATTATATATATTTTTACAAAGAATATGTACAGATAATGTTACATATGAATTTTATTTTACTATATTAAAGGAAGAGTTACAAAGTATAGTTACGACAAGAGAGTGTTTAGTTTGATAAGGTTGAAAACAAATACATTAGACCTTCCAAATTTAAAATCCTAAATGACAAAATGAGCCTTGATTATCTCCACAGCAGTGTTACCAGTAGTGGCTGACATAGAGTATTGGAAATGGCATTGAAGGTGAAATAAACGTGATAGCCTAACAACAGTGGAAAATTATAAAAAACACACACAGCAAATAAAGTTGAACTCCTAAGGACCGCAGTCTATTTCCACTGTTGAGCATCTTTATTTTAATCTATACATATCAAAACTTTCCCTAGTATGGCCCTCAGAAGTTTTTCTTGTTTTTCTGCAAATATTACCTAGATCATATAGTCTAAGATACATTTATTTGTTTCATTAAGCTGTGTATTTCCTATCAAGAATTTTTTTCAGGCAAATGTTATGTTTTATAACTTCCAACCAATCCACCAACTATAATAAAAAAGTGGGGGCATGACCACAATCTCAAACTCCGAAACACTGGTTATATTCTTAGGTCTGCTTTCACAAAGCTATAAAGTCACATCATAGTTTATATTTTATACATTTATTTCTAACAAAATCTCCCAGTCAGTGTTCACATTAGCTTTGTGATATAGACGTGGCAGGGATGACTATATTCCTGTTTACCAATGTAAGAAACATTTTATGTACACGAATAAATTCTCAGCAAGCTACATTGCTGTGTCCATCACCCAGAACCCTGGAGTCCCATCCCAGTCTGGAGCATCTTTCCACCAAACCATTTTGCTTTAGCAGAATTCTCCCCCATTTACCTCATCCAGGCAGTCGTGTGGTGGTCAGTGTCCAGCTTCTTGTAGGCCAGTGCTATGACCCGAAAGCCCTGCGTCGTGTAAATCTGAAGTTCACTAACAAAACTAGTTGGTACTGTTTAGAAAGTAACACAGGATTAGTATGCAATATTTACGTAGCCAGTACTGGCAAAGAAAACTTCTACAAACAGCCAGTTCTTGCCCAAGAAAACACACCTCTATAAAGATGTGCATACAAGTAGCAGAAATGCTAAACATAATTACGTTGTCAGGGCTGACCTCTTGGGGTCCAGGGAAACTGAAAGGAAAAGGAAGCAGTTGAAAAAAGGAAAAAGGATAGGGAAAGTGTAGAATTCTTTTTCCCCCAGTTTAACCAACAAACATTTATTGAGAGTCTACTATGTGCCAAGAATTGGCTATGAAGAGATGAAACTGCCAGCTCTGCTCTGAGGATTTCTGTCTGAGTGACAACCAATAGACTAATAATGCAGTCAAATGAGATCATCGCCATGATCTAGGCAATGACAGCGAGCTGTGAAAAGTGCTTAGTAGTCCCTGCACCAGGCTGGAGGAAGTGGTCAGGGGAAGGAAGGAGAGGGCTTTTTGGCCGAGGGAGCATCATGCACTCAGGCACGGAGGCATGAGACACAAGGCTTGGTGGTTAGTTCAGCTCAGGGGAAGCACAGGCTGTGAGGAGAGGAGTGGTGAGGCAGATCTGGAAAGTTCGACGGGCGTCGGATCCTGAAAGCCTTATATACAATCCCGAAGAAAGTTGAGATTATACTGGAGCCCATGGGAAGCAACCAAAAGATTAAAAGCAAAACAGTGACAACATAGTTGTGACAGAAGAACCAATGTGGTCACAGTATAGAGGGTAAATCAGAGTGGACGAGACTGGAGGCAGAGGGCCCATTCACCAGCTATCGAAGTGATTAGGGCTGATGAGGGTCTGCAGCGACCCAGTGACAGAGCCATGGACTCGCAACTGACAAGACAGAGGCAGGAGGGAGAGGGAGGCTCAGAGACGGCACCTAAACTGGGGATGGTGGACATACCATTCACCAAAATGAGAAATTGTGAGAAAGATAAGCTGGATTTGAGTATTGAATTTGGAACGCCAGTGAGTCACCCAATTGGTGATGACCAGTATGCAATTGGATTCATAGATCAAGTGCTGTGGGGACATATTTACCTGGAAATACGGATTTGCCAGTTGCAATACAAGTCTATTCACTAACCTGTCTCAGGTTGGCAAAAGCTGGCCACCCTCTCTGGTGCACCTTTCATGAAAGCCAGTCGGTCACCCCCCATCTCTTGGACAATGACTGTCATCCTTTGCAGTGCTGATGAGAATGGGAACTGATGCAGGACTGCGATTCCTTCGACCGGGACCTGGTTGAGGGATGGGGAGTGGAGAGGCCCATGCCGACATAGCTTCTAGCCATTGGAAATTAACTACTCCTCCTTTAATTCTTATTTTAGCGAGCAAGGGGGAAGTTCTCAGCAATTCTCACAGCTGGAATTCAAAGAAGATACCTCTGTGACCTTTCAAAAATCATCGGCCAGAAGAGAGTTTCCCTTTGAGTTTGAGTGCTGTGGGGTGAGCAGCGAGCTCCGCTTACCTGGCTGGCTGTTTTGCAGGGCTTCACTACCATCACATGTGCCGACACGCCCTTGGTGTGGAAATCGTCCCTGGAAATAGCCATTTCCTGTTTCACAAATGGAATATTTCATTGCAGAGATGTATTCATTGTTCATCCACTGATGTTATGCTTAAACCCTCCCCTTGAGAAAACCCTCAGACCACCTTGATGTATCCTCCACATCTCTTTCCTCAGCTAGATGGAGGTGAACCAGACTTACTCTCCCACAGAAAAAAAAGAATGCTTTGGAAATGCTGCAAAACTTGAAGGGCAGACACTTCTGAATTATTCATGCAATTTATCCTGTTCTCTCTGTTGGAATGTGCTGACTAAAGGCTCATTCTCCATTTCTAAAGAGCTTAACTTGAAAGTAGTGCCCATGAATAGCCAGACTTATTTTGTGTGGAGCAAGCACCTTTCTGTCTATCTTTTCCTGGAGTTCTCTGCTGTTCCTGTTCTTGCCGGTCTATCTAGTTTGGATTGATAGTCCTCAGGGCAGGGCAGGGCAGGGCAGGGACTGCGATGTACATGGTTAAGGTTCAGTAATTACTATAATAATGACCCTAAATTAGAGTCAAAGGAACCTTTCACCCAAAGGTAACACAGTGCTTTGTAATCATCCCATGGAGCGGTTGAAAAAAAGAGAGGAAATTATAATTCCTACTTAAAGATGCAGAATCAGTAACTTAGAAAGGATGGAAGGAAGATTGGCAAAGTTATATCAGATTGCTATGAAATAATGCTCTGTGAGGTCTGGAAGGGACCCTAAAAATTGTGCCTCTCAGTGGTGCTCACAGTCTGTCACCAGGGCGCAGAGCTACGTGCAGGGAGAAGGGAAGGACTCACAGCTAAGTCGTTGGGGATGTGTGTTCCCTAATCCCAACCTTTGCACTCCAACTGCTATTTTGACTGGAGCCACTCTATTTAGTTTTTAAAGAGTACTTCTGAATAATGTTTCCTTTTAAGAAAAGATTCAAGCTTTTTTGTCTTATTTTGTTTTATATGAACACTGCTGGTCTAATTCAATCCCCTCATTTTATGGTCATGGGAGCCAAGTCCGCAAAACGAGAGATAACTTAGCAGTGTTGAGCTGTCGGTGAGAGCAGAGCCGAAATGAGAATCAGAAGGGCCAGATTCCTGCACTACACCATTTGCTCTTAAATCTAGCTCAAAGTCTCAACAAAAACTCTTTAATTGTTTTCCTTTTTGTTGTTTCCAGCCTTAGAAATAAAATCAATACTAACTTAATAAGAATAAAACTCATGGTCACCATGAGTGCTTATCCTAAGCACTAGGGATGTCAGTGTTTCCCAATCCCTGTGTTCTAGAGAACTTTGAAACCAGGTAATGCTCATAGAACAGTACAAAGAGAAGATAAATAATTATATAATGATTATAATTATGTTAATACTACTGAACCTGTAATATGTGCCAGGCGCAGTACCAAGGATTTTGTTAATGCATCATCTCAGTTAATCCTCACAATAATTTTATAAAACAGTTGCTATTATTAGCTTCATTGTGCAGATAAGGCAACCAGGCTTAGATTAGTTTGCACTTCACCGCCAAATGCACTCCACGTTGGAAAACTCGCATTTTATAAGTGTTAAATTGAAGTGGAAAATTGGAAAATTCCACTAAAGTGGAATTCTTAGGAAATTCCACTACTGCGTTTTTCACCCTTGCGATCCTTCCCTGGGCCTCCTCCTCCTCCCCTGTGACCTTACCCTGGCAGCTGCCACCCTCATAAATCACCTGTAGCAATTAATGTACCAGGCTGTAAAGTAGCTTAGGACCCTGCCTCACTGAAGTTAACCCTGTTGTAACCGTGCCCCTCCCCCTTAAGCAGAGTGTATAATAGACTGCAGTGATCTTTGTCTGGTGCTCAGAATTTGGGAGGAAAAATCCCCCTCTGAGCCCGCTGGTGTATAAACCTGTTTTATCATTATTTCTGTGTGTATGTCGGTCTATTTCCGGTCATCTCTGCCGTAACAAAATAGCTGTGATAAAGCCTATGTTGCTCTGGCATTGAAGAAGCTTCTTAGATTCTCTGCACAGCAGAGGCTTACCCAGGTGGTAGCTTCAAACATTTTGAGGTCCAGAGGGTCTCCCTGGACGGTCCCATCGAGAAGGATGAGAGAGTGGCAGCTGGCCATGGCCGCACACAGCGGGCCCCACGGCAAAGCCTTGCCCGAGGCAAAGCTGTGGACATCCTGGAAGCTGAGGGAGAAGAGGGAAAGGGCTTTGGTTCTAACCCCTCATGCCAAAGTGGAGCATCTTAGAGGTGAACATCTTTTTCAAAAATAATTTAATATGCTTTGTTGAATTATATACCCACGGTCCAACCCCCCCAAATTAATTCAGCCATCATCCTTTGGTAAATTCACTGAGTATAGTTAACACAGAAGCATAAGCACATATTCGGAAACAAAAAAAAGCACAAATCAGAAAAAAATCTTATCAGTCAGTAATCTGTAATCAGTCACTAATTCTGAGCATATAATTCTGAGTTCCAGAGGATTGAGCCAGACTCTGGATAGCACAACAAATACATAAAGCTCTCTATCATCCCTATCCTTGTATTTTTATTTGAGCATTTCTAATTTATCAATTTCTGATAGCCTTTGATGGCTCATGAAGTATCTGTCTAGTACAATGGTCAGGCCCTTTTGGAAAAGATCAGAATTATCAGATAAGAATTGACAAGAAGATATTTAATAGCTTATAAGTCAGGTGCTCACTTCTTACCTAGAATTAACTGTTCTCTCTCATTTCATTAATTAAATTTGTCAATTTTTTAAAAAATTTAAATTGCCGTTTTAGTAATTTGAAGCCAACTTTGATCTTTTTGAAGGAAGGAAGGAAAGGACAGAAAGAGGGAAGAAGGGAGGTAGGCCTAATTAATCAGTAAGTTACCTAAATATTATATCAAGTGTTTTTATTTAAACATAACAAGCTATTTTTAGAAATAGAAAGTTTCCAAAGTTTTGTGACTAATATGATGTCAATTCAATAAGTAGAACATTCAAAAGACAGAACATATTTAGCTCATTTTAGATGAACAAACGTTTACTGTGCACCTACTATGTGTGTCTAGTACAGTGCTATGGCTTTGGGGACACAAACATAAATAAGAAAAAGATTGCTCTCAAGGTGCTCACACATTTGAATAAATGCATACATATTTTGAAGAAGCTGAAAAAGAAAAATACTAACAAACGAGGAAATGAGATGTATATTCAAATCCATTATCTAGGAAAAATGAAAAGACCTTTAGAAAGTTCAACACTGTAAGAGGCTTCCTCTGTAAACTAAAGTGGTTAGAAGCACCAGGATTATATTTTAAACTAGGAATTAGACTTGTTTCTAAGCAGTATTTTAATATGACAATGTATCAAAACCAAGTGTAATTAAAAATACTTTATGGATAAATTGTATGTCATCCGCATAATGGAAAAGAACCACAGTGAACCTTTCATGAATAAAATGCTTTGTGATTTAGGTTGTAAGTATTAGAGGGAAACACTATCATTTTCAAACAAAACATAAATTTCAAATGCACAACATTTTGTGTTCTGATCACACTGGAGGTGGGTAGAGAGGAGAAAAGGCAGGCAGAAACACAAACTCAGACATGGCCACAAGAGGGCCACGGGAGAAGGACGTGCAAATCTTTACCACATCAAGCTGAAAACTGCCAATAGGGAGTCTTTTCTTGCTGGAAAAGAGGAGGTTACAGAAGCCAGAAGGTGGAGTTCCCAGAATCAGAATACCAAGGAAAATGAGTACACTAGCTGTGTTTCCACAATGTTCCTTTTCCTGAAATTCAGGGCACAAAAGTCAATGCAGTGTTCTCCTTCCTCCGAGCATATCAAGATGCTTCAGCTTGCACACAAGAATGTTACCTCTCTGAAGGACGGTGTCCTGGTCTTGTCCATATTATTTAAACTGGGCCAACTTCAGGCCTCTGATGAATATGCTAAAAGCAAATTACATTTCAGCAAAAATTTGAACGCAGTGTCAAAACTGCCCCACCACCTCCTGGGTTTGTGAGTGGCCTGGGGCCGGGTGGGGCGAAATATGCATGTTTTAATGACTCTTGGAAAAATTCAAGAGGAGAAATTAAATGAAGATATTTTGGCAATCATTTGTCCACCAAAGCCAATGCTAAAATGTCTCCATCAGTAGTTTCAAGAGACAACATGGAATTCTGGACAAAGAGAAATTACAATGCCTTTAGTCCAAGGTACTCACCCATTCCTATCACAGGGCACGACTCCCCAGAGATCCAAGCCATCCCTTGTTAAGGTACCTGTCTAAATAGAAACAAATACTTGGTTCACTCTGAAGATCTGGTGGCCCTATGGAGAAGACTCCATAGTGAAGACAAATAAGGTATGTTTTAAAAGGAAAATATACTTCACAAATGTATTATCAAGACCAGCACTTCAAAGAGAGACACCGAAAGACAGGAATCTGGAGTCCTGGTGGAAGCTTTGATGATCTCGTACCAGCTGTAGACAAGCTGGCACTTAACTTCTTTGAACTTCCGTGCCCTCCATGGTAAAAAGAAGAAAACAGTATCTTCCTTACAGCTTCAGAGGGTTGTTTTGAGAATCTAATGGTAGACTGAATGGAAGGGCAAGTCCTGGGTAAGCCTCTAAGAGCTATAAAAGGAGCAAGTCCCAGTTTTTATAGTAGAAGTTAAAAATATGTCATCAGAAATAAGTAACGGAGTAGAATTTTTACCTACAAGGCACCCTTTGTGAAAAGACTAAAGAAATTTGTTGCTATTTGATACTGATTTGGTAAAAGCGTTTGTTGGCATTTCTCTCAGCATAACGTTTTAAGAGCTCAGACTAGGTTCGAACACTAGCTGTGTGACCTGGGTGAATTACTCAACCCCTCTAACATCAGAGCCCTTGTCTGCAACATGGTCATAATCTCACAGACTTGTTGTGAAGATTAAATGAGATAATGTGTCTAATTTAATATCTAGCATATAGTAAGAGCTAAGAATAATGGTAATTACTCGTAATTATTGCTAATTTTTAATTCAAATTCAATTCACAATTATCTCTCTCACTCCTGTTTCTTTTTCCAAGTCCAAGGAAATGATCTCGTAAATAGAATGTGTTTCCTTACAATGCTAGTTTGATCACAAAATAATATTGAAATGGTGGCAAGAGTCATATTAACTTTCTGTTCTTGGTAGATCTTTCTGATAATCCAGTAATTATAAAATACAGCTCTGATCCCATTAATTCTCTGCTATCAAAACCTTCAATGCATTGTTTAATGGGTACAAATGTACTTAATGACAGTTAACAGTGCACTTAAAAATGGTGAAAATGGTTAATTTTATGTTATGTATATTTTATCACAATAAAAAAATTAATTAAAAAAGAAGGCAATGACAACAACAAAAAACCTTTAATGGCTTTTTGCTGCTTAAAGATTAAATAAAAAATTCCTAGCCAGACGTTCAAGGTCCACAGACATCCTCTCCCATTACTAATGTCCTGCTCTAGTCAAAACCACACACTCTCTTGCTTTCCTGCCTCCACACCTTTGCCCATGCTCACCTTCCCATGATGCCCTGAAGGGCATTTCCATCTCATCCTCTTACAACTCCCCCCTTTACCCCAGCACATGTGTGTACAGGCTTTAACAATACACTCAAGAGAAGATAGAATACGAGGCTGCTTGGGAATAACCAGCAATTAATCAAGTGTAATTTTAAGCAATAAACTATAGATGGGAAAATACAGTAAAGGTTTATATGGGGTTTTGTAGGAACCAAGTCTCGCAGTAAGACACAGTTTAATAAACTCTTCCTTTTTCATTCATTCATTAATTCAATAAATATTTATTGAGCACTGACTCTATGCCAGGGAATATTCTTAGCATTAGGGACACATCAGTGACTATAGTAAAGGGTTTAAATTTTATTCCTTGAATGAGAGTTTTGACTGCAGAGGGACAGGATGCTATTTTAATTAATTGCTTTCCATAGCATATTGAAGCAGCAAGGACCTTAAAAATTCTCCTATTCAGTACCCACTCCCCCTCCTCTAAACCCTAGAATCTGAGAGCTCAAGAGATGTATCTATCCCAGATCGCATGCCCAACCAGAGATTAAATGAAGCCATGTACCCACATTCTACATTTCCTGCCTCACAGGTGGGTAAAAAACACCTGTGTATGATGACAGTGATGATAAAAATGGCTATGAGAGCGAGGATGAAACACACATACCTTGTCAAAGCAGACAAGGTTTACTTGTCCACACACATTGATTCTCTGGGGACTAATACAGAAAATGCCTCTCTTCTTCAGCCTCTTCTGGGCATAGATAATGCCTGTGGTCAGAGCAGCAGGTAGAGCAGGAGGAACTGCAATTGTGATGACATCAAGGGCTTTCTTCACTATATCCTCTGGAGGTTCCTGGAAGATAGTCATTCTTTAACTATTACAGGCAAATCAGTGATGGGCAGCATCTGACTTTTTTCCTTCTTCTTCTTTAGGTCAAATTTCTGGAAATGGTATCACTAGGACAAAGGGCATGACCATCTTTACAGCTCTCAGCATCTTTTGCCAAAGTGCAATAAAAAGGTTTATGATGGTTCATACTTCTATCAGCAGAGAACAATGTACCAGTTTGCCATGTCCTTACCAACAGTGGGTATCCAGTTTTACTTAAAATTTCTCATTTAATAGCTGCAAAAATACTACTTTACTGAAATAAATACATTCTCAGACGAAAAGGAAAAAAATAGTGTAAAGTGTGAGTAAAAGAGTGAAGGTATGTTGATATCTCAATAAACAAATTGTTTTATCCCACTCTCCCATAAGATCTGATTGTTATTATGGAACTTAGTGATCAATTGCTTATATTGGGGAATTGGCACTAGATAAGCGGTTCCAGTGTTTGGCTTTGTTTCCCAGGTTTATAAACCATGCCCTAGGTTAATGTCAACATGCAGAGTATGAAATATATAGGGACGAGTGTATGTGTGCATGTAATAAAAGAGCAAAGGCAGCTTACCCCACTGAGCACATAGACACACAGAGTATAGATCATCCCAATGGTGGCTGTCCCCACAAGGCACAGGAGGAACCTGATAGCATCCCTGTAGAGCTTAAAATTCATTGGCTTGGGGTAGAGAATGGATCTCACAAGGTCCCCCTTTGCAGTGTTGAAACCTGAAAGAGCAAACACACACCCCACTCTCAGGAGGACAAACCCTACTGCTAGTGCTCTTCTAAACCTCAACATTGCCTTTGATTTCCTCTAGAGATATTTAAACCGTGTTTAAACCCAAAGGCAATTGAAAGATAAGTGAAAAAATAAATAAGCGCTAGAATGGAAATATCTATCTTGAGCCTAGTGCTCTCTCTGGCCTTCCTTTCCTCAACTTCCAATTTTTATGCATCCTAGAGATAGGAAACAGCCATACTGGATGGAGAGTGCAGCTTTTCCAAATATAACTTTATTTTAAGGAAATGACTCATGAGCATGCAGACACACACACACACACACACACACACACACACACCACTTTAATTAAAATTAAATGGCCCAGTAAATACTGATGGACTCAGTTTTCTAATTCTTTTCAGTGTTAAATTTTCAGTGTCTAGCCCTACCTGCCTAGAAAGAACTTGGGATTAGAGAAAACCTCGGTCCAGCTATGGCATTTTTAAAAGTTCACTTGAATTGTGTGGCCTCAGCCTATTCAAGTATAAAATGCGGACAGTCGACATTTCTGCTCTGCTGGTTTGATATGTGGAAATAGTTTACAAACTGTGAAGCACGTAATTAGTAATTATTGTCATCAGTATTATTTACCAAAAATCATATACCATAGTTCAATTGGCATTTAAAATATCATATAGATTTACATACATTTGATTTGTTATCTAAAGACTGCTCCTTACCTAATAAATTTAAGGAACTAGACAACTTGAGCAAAAGTATTTCATTAAAAGTAACAACACAGAGGAGGAGATGCTAACCGGTCTGCAGTACCACTGCTCTCACGGTCCCAGAGCATGCTGCCTTGGCCTGGATCACCTCTGTTCCACAGAAGAGGACATGCCGTTTGTAATCCGCTTCACTCTGTGTTTTCCAGGGCACAGAGCTATCCATTTTGGGTAATGGAGTTTTAGTGACTGGAATACTCTCTCCTACAGAAAACAAGCATCCCGTTTTGCGAGGTAAAATGCCTTCACTCATTTAAATCATGCCTGCACTCACTCATCATACAACAGCCATTTGTTGTGAGCCTTTCTGGTGACAGAGACAACCCTAGGTACTGGGGATACAAGGGTAAACATAGTTCTTGTTTTTAAGAGGTCAGTAGTTTAGAGTGGGAGACAGACATGTAAGCAAATAAGTATAGTGCAGTGTTATAAATACTGAGTATTGTAAATCAAGCATGGATGTTAAAATAGCTGGAAATAATTATGTAGGGAGCAGCGAGCTGTGCTGTCTAGAATATAGAGTGTGGGTAACAAGGGCCGTGAGAGCTTTGTAGGAGCCTAAGCGTGCAGAGCCCCAAATTTAAGGATTTAAACATTTTTCTAAAGTCACTGGAGGCTGAAGGAGGGTGGGGAGATACTTAACTGCTTTAATCAGGGGCTAATATCATATTTGTGTGTAAGAGAGAGCACTCTGTTCACAATGTTGAATTGGGGTCTGGTGAGGCTGGAGGCTGCACATCTAGCTGGGAACTGCTCAGAGTCCCAGGTGGAAGGGATGAGGCCTGAACGAGGCATTTGGCTGTGAAAATAGAAAGGAAGTGCTGGACTTGAGGGCATTTTTATATTGGCACGTTATAGGGATAGAGGAATTTAAAATGACTTCCTGGTTCCTAACATGGGAGGTGAGCAGAGGGTGGCATTATTCATCAACATAGGGATTACAGGAGGAGAGAAAGAATAGTCCCTTATCCACCGTGAGCTGAAGCTGCCTTGTAGAACGACCATGTGAGATGTCTTGTAGGTACTTAGAGAGTTATCTGGATCTGAGCCCAGGTGAAAGGCCTTGACCAGAGGTATTTAGTCAGAGTTTATCAGCTTATGGACAATAATTAAAGCCACAGAAAGAGACAAGGTTACATAGGGACCAAGTCTGGGGTGAGAAGAGGAAAGGACAGTGCTGTAGCCCTGAGCAGCAACAGCAACCAAGGAGGTGGAGAAACAGGAGCAGTAGAGAAACTGCATGGGTAAGGTCAATGGTAGGAGAATTTGGAGAGAGAGAGTTGTCTTAGAAAGTTAGAGAGGAGAGAGTTTTCAGAAGGAGAGGTGGTCAGAATAGTCAAATGCAACAGAGAGGACGATAAGATGAGAGATTTAAAGAATACATTGGAATTGGCAATGGGGACCCTGGCGACTTTTGCCGGAGTAGTGCGAGGAGCGTGCTGCAGTGGGTCGAAATGCTAATACGAGGTATTGAACGAAATTGTGACATAACTATGGCCTGTCCTGAGGAGCAAGCTTGTAAAGCCTCCCACTAATCTTTGCAAAGTGAGCACTATAAAGTATTAATAGAATCCTATTCCAGTGCGCTGGGGCTATTTTCATTAGGAAAATGGTACTTGGCACGGCAAAAGTCCTGACGTTACAGAATTTTTATGAATCTATGGATTCTTGAAAGAAAGAAGCTGACCTGCCATGATCTGTCATACATTTATTTATTTCAAAATATTAAGGGGGGACATAGATCATTTTTGTAATGCTTAAGTCCTGGCTATAGGTGTGCCAATCACCCAAATAGTGCTCATAGTATCCATTAGATTGGTCCCTCTCCTGGTTGCTATCCACTGAGTTTTACTTCCTTCTATGTACATGTGCGCATGCATTTATTTTTTGTAAGTTCACATAGGAGGAAGATATGTGTTCTTTGTCTTCACTTCATGCCTTTGTGGTCTGCCTGAGAGAAATGGATTCTATTTGGACCTTAATGGGAACCACAGTACACCATTGTACATTCATAGTCTCCCATTTCATCTCTGAAAAGGATTTTATGGTTCTTCTTCATCTTACAGAAATGTTGGCACATCTCACTATTACGCTATATAAGTGAAAAATCAAAGCGGTAACTTTGAGCAAGTCACTCCTCCTCTCTGGACCTCACCTGTGAAGGGAGATGACCTCTGAGGTCCCTCCCAGCTCCAGCGTGCTATTTAAAAATGAAATACAGTTGGTCCAAAATACCCAGTGTGTACTTTAAAAGTAGCAGATTTGCCAAATGCTGCATCATGAACTTTTTAACATTTGCAATACAGGCCTGGAAGAACACCAACTGCCCTGTGGGTTTCAGGATGTCATTGATGGTTTTCAAACCCTCCAAGTTTATTTGAAGACATATTTTATATAAAAATATTAAAGGTAAAAATCACAGACAATCCTGAAAGATCTAATGATCTTCACAGTCTTTTAAAGTAAAATGAGAGGGTTGTAATAATCCTTTGTTCAAGAAGAAAATGCTAAACACTCAAAAAGTTAATGGTTGTATCAAACCTAGCACACAGAAGGCAGCTTTAATTTGAACTCTCAGATCCATCCCCAGCAGGACTAGGATTTGTGGAAATAGGAAGGTCCCACAGCAGTCTCACGCTTTGCAGTGGGTCGTCGTCATTCAGGTGGAGGAGGGGCGGGGACCGCGGTAGCGTGGAGCCCAGGTGAGCCCAGAGAAGCTGAGGCGGTGGAGATGGAGGCGTACCTGTCAGCATGCCTTCATTCACCACGCAGCTGCCGTCAATCAGGACGGCATCGCACGGCATTTGCACTTTGTTCCCTGTCAAAATCAATAAATCTCCGGGCACCAGAAAGCGTGATTCCAGCTCTTGAACTCCAGCTGAAAGAGTGAGGAGACAGAGTTCAGTCATGTTCCACAAAAACAAGGTCCAACATCTATTTAAGTTGAAAATCAATAAAGCAACCAGAGCATTTTTTAAAAAACGGAGGACATTCCTCAACATTGATTCAAAATCTGGGGAAAAAGTAATAAACTATGTAAAATAAAAACCTTTGTGTGTGGGGCGGGGGGAAAGAAGCAAAGAAAAAACTAATGCCAAATTCAGAAAACATATTTGAAACTTATGTTACAGACAAAAGATCCTATTCAGAATCTTTTAAAGAGAGATGGGTAGCAAATAACTTATATAGCAAAATTGCTAGATATTAACAGTTCGCACACACACAAACAGAAGTGGTGTGTTAAATGTTTGAAAAGCTGCTCATTCTTACTCGTAATAAGAGAAATTAAAGTTCTTTCCTTTCTTCCCAACTTCCTGCCTGCCTTTATTTTCCTCCTTCCTTATAGAGTCCCAAAGCTGTTGTGGACCGAGCAAGAGAGGCATCGCTGCAGCGGGCTGGGTGGGGTGGGCTGGCAGCCTGCTGTGGGGTGCTGGAGCCTAAGGAGAATGGAAGGGTGTTTACATGACCCTGGTGTCAGAGCCCGAGCAGGGGGGAAGGGCTGCCATGGTGGTAGTGGCCTGCCATGGGATATTGGGGTCCAAGCAGAGTGTAAAGGGCATCTACGTGGGAGCAGGGGTGAGGGCAGAGGGAGTTTCAGCAATGATGGAAGATTGGGTACATCCAGGCAGAATGGATACAATAAGTACAGTAGTCCCTCCACCCTTTTATCTGCAGTTTTGCTTTCCTTTGTTTCAATTACTTGTAGTCAACTGCACTTGGAAAATATTAAATGAACAATCCCAGAAATAAACAATTCACAAGTGTTTAATTGTACACCATTCTGAGTAGCGTGATGAAATCTAATGCTGTCCTGCTCTGTCCTACCCAGAACACAAATCATCCCTTTGTCCAGCATATCCACACCGTAAATTCTGTTTGTTGGTCACTTAGTAACCATCTCGGTTAGCAGATTGACTGCTGTGGTATCACAGTGCTCATTTCAACCAGCCCTTATTTTACTTAATAATGGCCCCAAAGCACAGAATAGTGATGCTGACAATTCAGATACATCAAAGAAAAGCTATAAAGTGCTTCCTCTAAGTGAAAAGGTGAAAGTTCTCCACTTAATGAAGAAACAAAAAACAATTGTATGCTGAGGTTGCTAAAATCTATAGCAAGAAAAAATCTTTATCTGTGAAATTATAAAGAAGGAAAAGGAAGTCCATGCTAGTTTTGCTGTTGTACCTCAAACTGCAGAAGTCACAAGCATAGTATGTAAGTGCTTAGTTAAAATGGAAGGCGTGTTACATTTGTGAGTGGAAGACAGGAACAGAAATATGTTCTCATTGATGGCGATCAGACTTGGTACTACTCACGATTTCAGGCATCTACTGGGAGTCTTTGTATTCCCTGTAAATAGATTGAGGTTAACGAGAGCCGGGTTTCTCACTGATGAAAGGAAGTTACAAAGATAGAGAGAGAGAAAACGAGAATAAACCCTATGGTATTAGATTAGAATTGGAAATATCAGTGTCCTAGAGACAGAGAAATAACACAGATGTAAATGTGTGTGGATATAAGAATACATAAATCCATGTTTGCTAGTCTGTTTATACATATAGTCTCTGACTCTGTCCTTTGAGAAGGCCTTACAGCAGTGAAATACCAATGTAATGAACACATTCAGTGCCCAATTTTTGGTTTCTAAACTCCATTCCTCCAAATGAAAAACCAGGGTGCTTTAGAGAAAGGGCTGATCACAAGGTTGGGTCAAGAAAAGTATTACAGAAGCTGGAACACCTTGTGCCATTAAGTAGGAAAATGCTCAAAGAATGATGGGGACATATCACAAAGATATCAAAACCAACTTAAAGGACCCTTGCTGCCAGAATCTATAACAATTTGAGCATCAAAATAAAAAATAATAATAAAGAACTACAGCCATTGAATAAAATAGGGATTCATGAGTCCATAATGGCGTAAGTAGATGAATAGGTAGATAAGAAGAAAGATAGCTTTCGTTGCAGGAAAATGGCAAATAATTAATTAGAAGGAGAGATAGAATTAGAAAATCATCATTTGGCAACTATTATAGTAATCATTTAATCACTAAACATCAATGGATACTAAAACTAATGGGTAAAAATTTGAGGAAGATGGTTTATCTATATAGTCTCAAAGTATCTCTCAACAAAATAAGTATTAATGGCAAAGGAGGAAAGAATAAATTTACAATGGAGAAACCTGGAGGATTCTGTTTAATTCAGTAATCCAGTCAACATCACCAGTTTCAGGACAAATTTGAATTATATACCACGTGAGAGGAAGCAGTGAGAACACAGCACCGTGTCTGGGATATGCCAGCCAAAAATGCATAACCTGAATTTAACAATGAGGCAACATCAGACAAATCTAACTTGAGTGACATTCTACAAAATAACCAGAGTTGAAAGAGTCCAAGTTACCGAAGTCAAGAAAAGATTGAAGATTAAAGAGACGTGGGAAACAAAAGCATTTTTGTGATCCTGGACACCTTTCCTCTAAAGGACACTATTGAGACAGTTGGCAAACGTGAATAAGGTCTGACCATTAGTTGGTAGTAGAATGTCAATATTAACTTCCTGGATGAACTGTTGTTTATGTAGGAGAATATCCTTGTCTTTAAGAAATACACACTAAAGTATGTGGTGGTCATGGAGCCACGTCAGCAACTCATTCTCAAATAGTTCTGGGAAAAAAAGTTACTTGAACTATTCTTGCAACTTTTCTGTAAGTTTTAAATTATTTCCTTAAAAAAAAGAGAGAAATATACATTAGATAACATTGCTCACCTATACGATGAGAAAAATCTAAAAGTTTGCCAGAACATTCTGTTGGCAAGGCTGTGAGGAATCAGGCATTCCCACGTTTCTGGTGCAAATGCAAACGGGCACAATCTCTAGAAATTTGGTGATACTTCTCTAGTAAAAGTACATATGCATTTATTCTTCAGCCTAGCAATTTTACTTCAAAATTTTACTGGCAAAAATATAAAAACATATATGTACAAGACTCTTTATTATAGCACTATTTGTAATAGTAAAAGACAGAGAAAATAATTCTTTAATAGAGGACTGATTTAATAAACAATGGTTCCTAGACACAAGAGAGTACTATGCAGTTGAAGTAATGCATGAAGAGTATCTATATACACTGTTAATTAAAGGCACCTGGTAAACAGTTAAGTATGCACATATACACAACATAAAGTACAGTTAAATAAGTTTAGTATACCCTTATCTATCTAAAAAGCAGCAGTATAGATACATATCCTATTTTGTGTATATAATATATAGCTGTAAATATTATATATAATTTGATTATATTTTCAAATATAATAAATCAAAACAACCAAAGTGATAATTATAGAGAGAATGAATACGCAAGTTACAGAGGACATGGATAGGTGCTAGACTCCCCTGAATATCTCTTGTCTTATGGATTTGACTTTCAAGCCATGTAGATATTTTCTATACTATCTACACAAAATAATATAAAAAAATTGAAAAGCTAACTCTAAAATCTAAAGCAAAATTAGTGAAATGAACCTATCAAGTTGTTGGCATCACCATACAGAGAACTATTTTGAGTAAGTTTAAAACATAATTTTGGGGGACAAAAAAAGGTATAATTTGATTCTACATTTCTGATGGGATATCATGAACAGGGAGAAAAAAAGAACTCTAAAAATACCTTAAACTGTTTTTAGGAATCATTAATTCTGAGTGTGTTGGTTTGTTATTCTGAGACTATTGTAGATAATGGGATAAAGCAAAAGAGTAATCCATTCCTGTCACTGTGAATTGGGATTTTTGGTATAGTGAAAGGAGAGGAGACACAAATAAAATCAAAAAAATTAAGTAAAAAGCCCATAGTTCTGAACTTGAATTGAAATTGTCAGTATGAGCTTATAATGTATTTTATCTTAAAAAATTATTTCCTAAGTGTATCTTCTGAAAAAGACTAGAAATGATGACTAATACCATAAAAATGGGCACTCTGATTGAGTACCCTGCCTAAGAACTCTTTTGAAAAACAGATGCATCCAGGTTTGGTTCAGGAATTGTCTCAATGGGTTTAATAAAAATCTCAATGACTGTTAGGGTCATGTCAAAACTACTCAGGAGCCAATTTGAAGAGGCTCTCAATGGCCAAAGATGGGAAAATATGAGCAAAAATAGGAATAAAAACTTCAATGGATGGAAATGCACCAACCATTTTAAACTTTATGATACTAAAAGAAAAAAATCCTCTGGAAGATACTAGATAATTAGCCCACTATTTTTAAAGCTGGCAAATGAAAAGAAAGAATCAGATCTTTATCCTTTATTTCTTAAATTGAATCTCAGGGTAACGAAATAGTGGAGGAGCGGTGTTTCTTTTTACAGAAATATTCCTATTCCACCTAATTTTAAAAACAACACTATGGAAGTAAAAAATTTGTAGCTCCTAATGAAGTAAAAAATCTAAGTCATGAACATTCGTATCTGCTAATCTCACAAAAAGAAGACAATTAGACATTATATGCCTCTAGTATACAATACTAACTATGAGCATTCATGCCAAAAATTTAAGC